TTCTTTTAGGAACTGAAACATGTCGTGAAAAATGATGGTCTAATGTAAATCGAATATTTCGATAAAGAACATCATTTGATATATTTTAAATATTTTAAATGTTAATTATTGTAATATTTTAATATTTAATAAGAATTTATTGTGATTAGACGGACAAGATTTAAAATATATAAATCTGTATATTTTATTTGTCTTATCAGATCTAACTTTCGTGAGTTTTGGCTTAGGGTTAGAAAACTGATATCTCAAGATGTTAAGAATATTTGGAGAAAGAACAGTTATTTAATTTTAAAATCGATCGGAACACACAAATACACTATATGGGACACATATGGAGTTACTGAACGTTGTAGCAGCTGGTGCAGATAGAAACGTGCTTTAATGTGTCAGTATCTCCTTTATATCGAGTGAAAAGAAAAGTTTTCGGACTAGGTTCTTTGTGTTAAACGAATGGATTTTTTTTCGTGACACCTGGCATTTGCTCCGTCTCGGAACAAATCGTGTTTGTCGACTGTGAAACAGAGCTTGGCCGCGAATTGTAATCATTTGTCCTTTCATGTGTCTAGACTTAGCCGTGACTGTAGGCAACTTCTCCGACAGGGTTGTGTTGTGTGTAATCAGAACTTCGGCTCTTTGCTAAGTTATATTCCATTGCTCGTAAACGGGTCAGGGCCTTCATTATCTTACGAAGTCCCACACAACTTAATAAATTTGTCTTGTGTGCTTAATATTGGAACACAGGGCACCAGCAATGTATGTTGGTTGGACTGTTTTTTTTAAGTGTTCTGTCTGGCGACAGGTCCATATGAACAGGATCCTTCCATCCTTTTCTCGGACTGGGACCTGTTCATATACATTCTTGGCAGATTATCCAGAAGTGGTTTGCCATTGTCTTCTTCTGTGTGTGAATGGAGTAATTGTTGGGATGCCACGGAGAAACCGGGGAAGAAGCCCCCGGAGGAAAACTCCGTGTTGCCTAGACCACGGCCTTGCCCAACACAAGTTATAAATTCGGGCACCGCCGGGAATCGAACCCGAGACCCCAGGATTACAAGGCCAGCGTTCTAACCGCTAGACCACCGTGGCAAATGGTTGGACTTTATACAGAATTAAAATAAAGACTTGCTGAAATAATAAGGTCTGACATTTGACGTTCTAGTGTATGTGTCTGTATGAACGGAATAGATTTTTATGCATTGACGCTCTGGACTTTTGTTGGAATGTCTGTCGGCTGCCGTGACCTCGGTCTTAGGTGATTATACACGGTATCTTCAAGGAGTTTTACCTTCATGTATTCCATTGCAGTCCCCATTACATTTATTTATGTATTTATCATATTCCCACTTCAGTTGACGTTACATAACCTCTGGTGTTGCAGCAGAGTCTAAAAAAGGTGTGCTCCGTGTTCACAGGATTCGGCCGCCATGTTGTGGAGGTGTCTTCTGCTGGTGAGCTGTTGCGTCCTCTTCGCGCAAGCCAAGGTAAGATCATAAGACTGTCGAAACGCTATGCCGTGCATGGAATTAAGGGAAGCATTGCTTATGCAGTTGAGAAACGAAAAGAATTCATACAAAAATAATTAAAGTTGAATAATAAGGATTGTGAATATTGTCATCTTCTCAAGAACATGGGGTGTGGCGAAGCAAGAGACAGGACCGCAGGCAGCGAGTGTCCTTGTGGGAGTTAATATGTTTCCTTTCATAAGATAGTGTAATTGCGTCATATTGTGAATATTATAACAATTATTTATTTTAATCCGTCTGATCACAATATTTAAAATTTCTTATAATTAAGATAATAAATATCATTCATGTTCCATATCGATTGATCGATTTACATTTCGGAACATTTACATTTACATTTGTAAATGTTCCGAAATGTAAATCGATCAATCGATATGGAACATGAATGATATTTATTATCTCAATTATAAGAAATTTTAAATATTGTGATCAGACGGATTAAAATAAATAATTGTTATGTTTCCTTTCGTTAAATCTTCGTAAGAGTTCGTCCTATAGTTCGTATCTATAGAAAGCAATTCTGACCGTGTTGTCCGCGCTCCTTGGCTTATAGTGCAATGCTGATGTGGAGATTAACTGTTTATGTGTGATTTAAGTTCTTGTTGGGTGTAGTAAGTAACATTAAGTTTTATTAAAACATTGAACATGAATATTTAGATGGTGCAGGATTATATTTGTGATCGTATTTTGAATCATGTTAAACTCCAGAAAGTAAACTATCCGCGTTACAAGTGGCAGGGGAGTTGTTAGACTACACGCACAGCTAAAACGAACGTTGGCAGAGAACCTTCATATACAGACTGTGCAATCGAACGCTTTTTAAAACGGGAATTTAATAGTAGGGACTTTTCTGAAAAGAGGATGATTATGGAAATAGGACGACTGACATGCTAGTTGCCAGAACTTAAAACAGAAATCAAATCATGTGTGAGGAAATTTAATTTGGAACAGTATTCTAAAACAGAGTGACTATCCGGTTGCCGTAACATAGGAAAATTGTTTTGTTTGCCATGACTATTTTTTCTGAATGAAATGTATGGAGAAAGACTGGATTCGGTGATGTCAAAAAACTTCATTAAACACTGAAACGACATGAGAAATCTCAAACCCACATTATTTGAAAATTGCAACTTCTGATGCTCGACAACTCTCGAATTGACTGTCAACTTAACCACACGCCACTGCTAGATTGGTTAATTCATTTGCCAATGCTGACGTACGTAATAGTTTAGTTCATTAAAATATATTTTTTATTCATTATGTTAAAGCCGCTCAGTGATAGGAGCTTGGCTCCTCGGTAGACACTCGAATCCCTCAGGGGTGTTAACGGAATGCAACTGACGACAACTAGAGGCTACCGCTGTTGCTGAATATATTTTTTCTTTTTACACTATTTATTTTTATTTATTTATTTATTTAGTGTTCTGTCTGAGGACAGGTCCATATGAACAGGATCCTTCCATCCTTTTCTCGGACTGGGACCTGTTCATATACGTTCTTGGCAGATGATCCAGAAGTGGTTTGCCATTGCCTTCTTCTGCGTGTGAAAGGAGTAATTGTTGGGATGCCACGGAGGAAAACTCCGGGTTGCCTAGACCACGGCCTTGCCCAACAAAAAATAATGTTATTAAGACGGCTATAATTAGCGTCTCAAATATACAACTCTTAAATAAGGTACCATTACCTATCGTCACTTCAGGTACAAGAATTTGCAACATGGAACATAGGAGTAGAAAATGTTTGTTACATTCAGTGGGGAAGGATCTCACCAGATACAGTAGGATGGTTCCCAGTGTGTTGAATAACGAGCCATGGAATAGCACAGGAACTTGTTTCTGGTAGTCGAAACACCTGGAAAGTGATCTGTCTGGTAGATACGTTGTGGAGGTTCCAAGTCTGAGAGTACAGGGCTGTATCACCACGGCAGAATCATCAGACGCAAGCAGATGAGGCAGTCTTGCATTCGCGAGTGGCTTGACTGACAACCAAGGAGATGTTCGTAGCATCATTCTTTCTCTACAGCGAATTGGTGATGTTAGATAATAAATATCATTCATGTTCCATATCGATTGATCGATTTACATTTCGGAACATTTACATTTACATTTGTAAATGTTCCGAAATGTAAATCGATCAATCGATATGGAACATGAATGATATTTATTATCTCAATTATAAGAAATTTTAAATATTGTGATCAGACGGATTAAAATAAATAATTGTTATGTTTCCTTTCGTTAAATCTTCGTAAGAGTTCGTCCTATAGTTCGTATCTATAGAAAGCAATTCTGACCGTTTTGTCCGCGCTCCTTGGCTTATAGTGCAATGCTGATGTGGAGATTAACTGTTTATGTGTGATTTAAGTTCTTGTTGGGTGTAGTAAGTAACATTAAGTTTTATTAAAACATTGAACATGAATATTTAGATGGTGCAGGATTATATTTGTGATCGTATTTTGAATCATGTTAAACTCCAGAAAGTAAACTATCCGCGTTACAAGTGGCAGGGGAGTTGTTAGACTACACGCACAGCTAAAACGAACGTTGGCAGAGAACCTTCATATACAGACTGCAATCGAACGCTTTTTAAATCGGGAATTTAATAGTAGGGACTTTTATGAAAAGAGGATGATTATGGAAATAGGACGACTGACATGCTAGTTGCCAGAACTTAAAACAGAAATCAAATCATGTGTGAGGAAATTTAATTTGGAACAGTATTCTAAAACAGAGTGACTATCCGGTTGCCGTAACATAGGAAAATTGTTTTGTTTGCCATGACTATTTTTTCTGAATGAAATGTATGGAGAAAGACTGGATTCGGTGATGTCAAAAAACTTCATTAAACACTGAAACGACATGAGAAATCTCAAACCCACATTATTTGAAAATTGCAACTTCTGATGCTCGACAACTCTCGAATTGACTGTCAACTTAACCACACGCCACTGCTAGATTGGTTAATTCATTTGCCAATGCTGACGTACGTAATAGTTTAGTTCATTAAAATATATTTTTTATTCATTATGTTAAAGCCGCTCAGTGATAGGAGCTTGGCTCCTCGGTAGACACTCGAATCCCTCAGGGGTGTTAACGGAATGCAACTGACGACAACTAGAGGCTACCGCTGTTGCTGAATATATTTTTTCTTTTTACACGCGTTTTCATCAATGTTCATTATTAATACGTCTAAATACACTTATATAAAGTTTTAAAAAACTTCGTTAGCAGCTTGACACGCTAACTGAAAAAAAAGTTAATTAAATTTTACGTTTTAAATTATTTGTCAATTATTTGATATTCGTTACGTTTCTTACTTACGGTTTCATATGGTTTTAGATTGTTATTATTCAGCATTTAAGTATAAATCTGATATATTGTTTATGTATTTATTATTTATTTTAGTGTTCTGTCTGAGGACAGGTCCATATGAACAGGATCCTTCCATCCTTTTCTCGGACTGGGACCTGTTCATATACGTTCTTGGCAGATGATCCAGAAGTGGTTTGCCATTGCCTTCTTCTGTGTATGAATGGAGTAATTGTTGGGATGCCACGGAGGAAAACTCCGTGTTGCCTAGACCACGGCCTTGCCCAACACAAGTTATAAATTCGTGGCACCGCCGGGAATCGAACCCGAGACCCCAGGATTATAAGGCCAGCGTTCTAACCGCTAGACCACCGTGGCTATTTACACTATTTATTAATTATTAATTAATTAAATATTACGATTAAATTACCTCAGTAGAAGATGTAATTTGGGCTGTTATAATGTGTTTATATTAATTTCTTTGGGACATTCTGTATATCCTCTTACCTTCGCCTAGGTCACTCAAGTGGAATCTAGTCCTATTAAAATTATTTTATGAATTTTTGATATCTTCCATCCTTACCACATTACCCTCTTTTCACTTGATACGTTAATAAAACTTGGGGAAGAGTTCAAATTGTGATTCTCCGCATTATATATTTTCACATTCACCTTTTACTTTCCCTCTGTCAGGCCGAAATAATCTCTTTAACACTTTTTTATATATAAATAAAACACTAATGTAGGAAGAGAGACTAAGTTTTACAAGGTAGTATATTTGCGTCATATTGTGAATTAGGTTAATATTTTAATATTTTCCGTCAAATCACAATTTTTAATAAGATAATAAAATATAAAATATTTAAAATATCATTTCACGTTCCGCATCGAATGATCGATTT